TATGTTTCTCTGGATTATATATGTCTATTTTTTCCTAATTGGAGAATTGAAGTAATTTGTACTCTGATTGTATTCTAATTTTCTTAGGTGTAGGGTAATCCTTTTTACTTTACTCTTTGAATTGTCTAATCCTACTTTGGGCAAGGTAAACAGAAGTTTTCTGAATTTGAATTCGAATGTTGCGTCTTGTGGAATTTTCGATTGGGTGGGCTTAGGAGATTGTACCCACCACTTTTGTCGTCGTTTGTGGGTCAGGTGTTTTAAGGATGTGTGGTACCTAGGTTGGGGGGGATAGTTTATGGTTGGTGAAATTGTGTCCTGTTGGTGAGGAGGGCTAGCTAGTGGGATTGGATTAGGGCATAGCCGCAACTGAGATGGTGGCTTAGCTCTTACAAGTCTTGCCGGAGAGAGATAAGTCTTAAGAGGTTGTGGGGTTGGTGCTGCGCTTATTGGGTGAGGGCAGATGATTGGTGAATTCACTTGATTTCCCATATTCCTCCTCTTGTGAATTATGGGTGGAGGAGGTTGGCTCGTCCTTAGAGGAGGAGTGAGGAAGGTGTCCATTGTGTGGTTGCAGCTACTACTCTCATCCCGCGAACTATGTGGTGGAGGAGGTCGACTCGTGGCGGGATGAAGAAGAGTAGGGGGTTGAAGGGAAGAGGGGGGATGTTTTCGTTGATTGTGGTCGGCTCGTAAAACACAATCAAACTACTTCTATTTCTTCTTCTCCGAACTACGTGGTGGAGGAGGTCGGCTCGTCGGGGGATGAAGAAGAGTAGGGGGTTGGAGGGAAGAGGGAGGACGTTTTCGTTGATTGTCGTGCTCGTAAAACACAATCAAAGGTCACTTTTGGGTGGACTACTTCTATTTCTTCTTCTTCGAACTATGTGGTGAAGGAGGTCGGCTCGTCGAAGGAAGATGAAGAGTTGAAGTCTGCTTTTTACCATTAATATGGGATTCRGCGAGGTTGCTTGCCTGCTGTTTTTATCTTCCGAACTATATGGTGGAGGAGGTCAGCTCGTCGGAAGATGATGAAGAGTAGGGGGATTGTAGGAAAGTGGTTGGATGGTTTCTTAATTTTTGCAGCTTGTTCGGAAAAAGAGGTTTTCTCATGAGAAGCTAGTTTTACCAGGCTGGCAGTTTACTTAGGTTTTTAAAAATTTCTTGGTTTGCTCTCAGATTCTCTCAGGTGAAGCAGGGTATCGATCCCGGTATTTCAGTGCTTGTAATTTCATATGGGACGTTGGGCCCGGTTCCCAGGAAGTGTTGCTCCCCACGAATAGATTGGGAGCCTTTGTCCCAAAAAAGAAAAAAAGAAAGAAAAACCCTACAACCCATATATATTTGTTTCCTTCCCCATTTCTTCGGCGCGGAAAAATCTCCGAAGGCCCGCGGCTGCGGTTGAGATCCCGACCGTGGACTGGTATCAGCCCCGCCACAGGGGACACATACGTTAGAAGAAATCCGACACCCACCCCTTCGACAGTTTCGCCCCCTTTAGCCACACAGCACTGTTGAATGCACGAAGTTCAACTCGTGAATGCAAGCCGGAAACAGACAAACGTGCCTGGGGATGGGACGTCCCAACCTCGGGCCCATTCACCAAATTCCGATGAGCACTCAATAGCTGAGCCGAAGACTGTTGAAAACGTACGTTGGAGTTGCAGGCAGGGGATGGAACCACTTTCGAAAGGAGCTGTCCAGAAGCTTTCTCTAACAACTGGCAAAGTTTTTCCCGTGGTCATTTTTGAAAGGCTGTGTGGCGATGAGAAACTATCGACAGTGGTGTACCGAGCCTCCTAACTGATTACACTGTAAGTGATCATCCACCTTAAGCCCGGTTGTCATCAATGACTCTATATATATATATATACGTACACGAGAGTCAAAAGAATGAGTTATAATTGCACTATGGGTCAAGATACAGTTTCAAATTGCAGTTCGGGCAATGTATACAACCCAGCTTTCTGGCCAGGTAGGGTGCCCGAAGTGCAATTGCAAACTGTATCTTGTCTGTCTCTTATACACATCTAGATGTGTATAAGAGACAGTTGCTGTAACGTCTTAGTGCGTATGCATTCCGAAAACACACAAAAAGCATGCGAGCATTGCCGACCTCCACAACTAACTTACCCTTCTCCTGCCTCACAAGCGTCCATCAGCACGGAAGACCATCATACACCTCCACATCAACACCGTCAATACATCAATCCATATCTTTTTTTAGCGCACCACGTGTCAACACTACAACAAACCAGTCAGCACCCGGCGCTATGTATCCTGATGAGCATCTTTGATTGCAGTTAATACTGAGGGGATAAGCTGCTCATCGTTATGAAAGGAAAACTCCCCCTCCGAAAACCTTTTGATCTTGCAATAGCTGGGAGGGGCTTTTCGGAGCGAGAGATTACAGGGAGTTATTGCATCTACTAAGTCATAAGCACAACGCGTGGCCGACGCACAGCACTTCCACGTTGTTAAGTATAGCACTTATCATGTCGGCGTAGCACGTGTCGAATCTAAAACCATGCACAACAGACCACCCACCTCATAGCACAAATTGTCCTAACAGACAACCTTGATCGCCCCCTTATTGAGGAAATCAGGTAGTCCTCCCTATAGAATCAAAGTACCCTGTCCGAAACCCTCATCGTGTACTATTAAGAAGGAGGGGAATTCGGAACAGAGATTTCCAGAAGTAAAATCACGGCAGCGCAACACATAACCGATCAACAAATCGCCATAGGCGATAATGCCATCTATACTGCTCTACGCTGCAGTGGCAAATCATTATAATTCAAATTCGCCCGATCCGCAGCGGTCATCATCGCAAACAAATTTGTAAATCGGTGAACAAAGTCACCTATCTCCCCCCCCACTTCTCAACCTTGATGTACGCATTTTAAACGGAGGGGTGAAGGGCATCACCTATCCTACCCCTTCCCGCCCCCAACCCTTCCCCCATAATCCCACACCCTCATTTTTCTCATCACCCATCCCTCACGTCCCCGACCCCCATCGCGCCCCACAGCACACAAAAGCAAGATGGCCAAGGAGGACCGGGAAAAGAAAAGCAACCGGATCGCACTTACTCCCTTACCAGAGTCTTCCCCGTGTTTGATATCCTCACAGCTTTCATGTTTGCATGTTGTGTAATTATCGTTGTTGTTATTGTTGTTTCCATCGCAGCTGCCGTTGGCATTCGTAGCCACATCCTCAGCAGCGAGATCACCATCAGTAAGACCAATGACAGTGACTTCTTCGCCATTTTTGTGAAACCGCTCAACGAACTCGGCGCACAGGCCCCGCCCCTCCTCAAGGCCCCTGGCTCCGCGACTTGTGAGTGCACCCAAGCATATTAGGCGATCCGCACAATCCACCCCAGAGGGCAGCCCCTCTTCCTGCCCCCTTGCCACGTCAGCCTGCTCAAGCAGCCCCCCTTGCTGAGCAGAGCTCGCAGTAATCACTGGCCTCGCCGCTGCAGATGGCGATATCGCCATCATGGATGTCGTTTTTAGCAATACAATCGGTGATGATGTAACTGTAATCGATGTCGAATCCATTGTTGCCGCAGTTGGTGACGTTAATGTTGTTGGTGATTCTGCAGAAGATGTTGGAGGTGTAGATGCTATCTGTATCTCAGTGCCTGGCAAGCCACACGCATATGTCGTCGCCAAGAGATCAGAGAACTTGTCCTTTATCCGCTGCACCATGTCAACACAGTCATAGAAAACGGCGATCGCCCTCTCTATCACTCGCGTCCCGCTGTCAACCACTTCTCCACTTGCCTGTGTCATCTTTGCGCCCGGGCAATGGTAATGTTCTCTGTATCTTTCTGAAGGGCAAGGAAGAGCTTCTTTCTTTTTCTCTTTTGGACAATTTCTCTCTCTCTCTCTCTCTCTCTCTCTCTCTCTCTCTCTCTCTCTCTTTTTCTCTCTCTCTTTCTCTGTGCCCCCTTTGGTTGGGACCATTAATTTTGTGGGCTTATGCCTGTCATCCTTCCTCAGGGGTCATGCTAATCTTCTCTGTATCATTCCCATTTTAACGGATGTCCCAAAGGTTTTGCGGCTTGATGTTCTGGTTAAGTGCATCACTGCACGGAAGCATTGCAAGTGAAACGAGAATCAGGTACATTTTCAGAACCCATTATGAAGATGAGGAGGAACTGGAGAAACTCAGAGTGCGAGAAAGGTCAGGTACTGGATTGAAGTAAGACTAGTCACGGGTACCCCTACATGGTTAATCCCCTGTCGTTAGAAGAGCAATCAGTGCCAGTGGGTTGCAGCTGCCTATGTTCTATGGTGGTCCTGCAACCAGAGGGCAGACTTAGACTAGGAGACTGGTTGGTTGAGGAGTAGCGTCAACATAATATATGGAGTTGCTCGATGTGTACTATCATAATCATGGTGGTCCTGGAATCAGAGGGTAGATTTAGACTAGGACAATGGCTGTTTGAGGGATAGGGTAAAGGCTCAAGAGTTATGGTCAATAGTTAATCCTGTCACCAGTAGAGTTACTGCAGTAAATGCTGTTGGGAAGAAGAATTGAAAATTAGGAGATCTCTTGTCTATTCTGGTAGCTACAATAAGACGCCCTGGGGTGAGTGGAAGATAACTGTTTCTTCTGATGTACTTCAATTTCAGTCTGTGTATGGGATGCTGGACCCGTTTCCCAGCAAAAAGAGAGAGAGATCTGAAGCAGTCCAGTGGTCCTGGAGGTGGGTCTGCGGGACGGGGCGCTGTTCTTTTTGGGGACGCTGAGCCCGATTCTCAGCATACAATCTCTCAATATTTTCTCTAGGAAGAGTCTAATGTTCAGCATTAGGGGATGGAGGGAGACCCCACTGCTGCCCCCCAGTGTTCTGTTAACCCGTGGGGGAGTGGGCTGCTTATGGGTACCCTATACACTTGCTTGATAACTGCCTCTGGAGACATGCGGCCGCCGAGATGAATGTCTGGAAACTAAGCTGCTGAGTTTTTTTTTTTTTGCCTTTTTTTGGTGGCACCCCGCGAACAGATCGGGGCTTAAATTTCTTTTTTTTTATTGCTGAGGTGATTACAACGTCGTGAACTACGCTGTTGGGCAGTGACAGGACCACTGTTTATTGAACCTGGTTGATGAATCTATAAGACAGTTATGGGTGCAAGTGGAAGCTACATCAACACGGCCGCGGCCACTAACCAGGCCTGTCACAAGAAGGCATTGTAGATGCATCATTGGTCATTAGCAGGCACCTGACGCCTCCGGGAATGGGGCGACATTACTTCTGGCAAAAGAAGCTTAAGCAGGAGAAGGGTTAGGGTAGTAGCCTACTGGGAAATGACCCTCTATGGCTTCGACTCAATACTCTGCATTGTTGTTCCAAGGGACGCTGGACCCGGTTTCCAGCAGGTGCTGCTCCCCGCCAATAGATGGAGCAGTCCACTGGGCGAGCCCTCAATCCTGGCGGTTCTCCTACCACCACCTGGATAGACGACTCGTGAAAGGGCTTTTTGTTTAAAAAAAAAAAAAAAAAAAAAAAAAAAAAAAAAAAAAAAAAAAAAAAAAAAAGACAGTTATGGGTGCTTAACCGCTGATAGAGACTCGGGTTGGACACGAACCCGTGTGATGGTCTCCAAGACGGAGGCCAAGGAGACAAAGGCCAGATGCAGGATACGTTTGGTGGGACTAGCTTTGATTTGATTTATTTGGTTTGTTTGGCAGGCCAGATAATTGGGTCTGATAGTGTGTAACAGTTATGGGTTCGCTTAGTTAAAGGGCCTTGCCACCACAGCACTCTCGAAATGTGGAAAAGACAAAAATGTGGGCGGGTACATATTGCCATGTTCCAGCTGGAAGTTCATTCTCATTTGTACATTTGGGGAGTCACTGTGGTGTGGCTATGCCCAAAGTTTGTTTGGATTTCCAATGCGGTGGTAAGTCGGGAGCTTGATCCTTGAGTCAGGTTTGTGTTTTCTGTTATTGGTCGACTCGTTTCATTGTAGTTTGTGTGGTTCAGTTCTGGCTATCCACTGCTCCAAACTGTTTGTTTTTTTTTGTTTTTTTTTTGGTCAGAGGAATACAAAACTTAAATTGCCAGGGCCGAATGGAAAGAGTGGCCGGCAAACCTCACAAACAACCCGGACAAGTACTGGGGCCATTACCAAGTTCAAGTTTAGGCTCTGCTGGAAACCTGGCTCAGCGCCCCCTCTTCTTCCATCCTACTTATCCTTCCGGAAAGTAAACCTTGAAGCTCAGTAAAAAAGGGGGAGAATCTGAATCTGAAAACTTAAGATTAAACTCCCGTTCGTTTGAAGTCCAGTACAGAGTAGGACACCCTACCTCTGCCATAAGATTAAACTTAAACCAACTGACAGTGTCTCAAAAATTTTCCCTTTTTATTTTTGAAGACATAACTGACATAAGATTAAACTTCTAAAATTTCCCCCTTTTTTTTTTGAAGACATAAGTGACATAACATAAATTGCATAAAATAATTGGAGGCCAGGGGCCTCACAGGCGGCCTAGCTCAGTTGGTTAGGCATGCAAGTGGCATTCAGGAGGTTGTGGGTTCGAGCCCCACAAACCGCCTGTGGCGCACTTACTGCCAACCAGCAGTGATAGTCCGCTTGATACCTCTGATCGGTAATAGCAGGGTCCTTGGCCAACACGGGTGTGAGTGTGAGTGTGTGTGGGTTGTGTGTGGTGTGTGGGAGAGTGTTGGCCTTAGACACTGCTGTTATTCGGTTGGGGGTGGGGGACGATGAATGCAGCTACTGGCAAAATGCTCGGTCTTTGCGTTAGCCGGACCCCCACCGGCGGCCCCACCCCATCCTTGACCACCATGGTTGGGGCGGGGGGCAACATGCATCCCCTCTGATGGCTGGAGGGAGACAACAAAGCTATGTTTGCAGGGGTCCTGCTGTCTAAGCCTTAGGAGTAGTGGTAGGTACGCAGTGAAGGCGAATTTGAAAGAATTTGAAAGATGATGAAAGATTTGAGAGAAGAATATAGCGTAGTTTAAAAACAAAAAAAATAACAATTCACCCCGGATTCTCAGAGGATTAGTCAGCTTCGCTTAACCTGCAACAAACCAGGGAAAGAGTCTCAGACAAGCCTGCAGCCAATGCCTTAACACGGCTTACCGTGAAGAGGAGATAACTACTGCAGTCTACTGCAGCTTCTCGAGTTTTTTAAGAATTTCAATGCCAATGTTTCCTTCCCAGCCGTTTTTCTTTTTTTTTTGAGAAAACACGTCTTCGTCCCAACCTAATGCGGCCCAGTAGAGCCCCACAACCTGAAAGGATATGCTCTCTCTGTGAAACATCCTACTGTGGCCAACCAAATGTAGCCACTCAGGCTGCTCAAATCGGACTATAATCTAGTATCTATGGGACGCTGGACCTGGTTTCCAGCAGGTGCTGCTCCCCACCAATAGATGGAGCTTGTTTCAGGAAAAAAAAAAAAAAAAAAAAAAAATTCGGGCTATAATCTCTGAAAAACGGTAACACCATGATCCTGATTAGCCAGATCCCGGCCAATAGAAATTCTGAAATGGACTCTGAAATAGAGCCCTAAAATAAGTTCTGAGAAGTAGGTCGTTTACCAGGCTACTCTTTTTTTTTTCTTTTTTTTTTTTTAACTAAAGTGGCAAATATGCTGGAGTCACACCCAACGTTCAGAATAGGCAACTTCAGCAGTTCCCGAAATTATGGTGCAAAAAAGGCGATACCCCTAAATCTGCCAAGGGTCACTGCGGGTAATGACTGGTGCTGCAGTTTTAGACCCCCCCGGGCTAAACTTGCACATGTCAGAACTCACACCATGACACCTGCGCCACTTCGTCTTGTCTTGCCGATTCCAAACTAAGAGTGCGTCACAGCCACAGTTTCCCCAAAAAGAAAAGTATGATTAACTTTGAACTTTGAACTTTGGATTTAGTAATTTAAGCTCATAACTTCATATATAACATAAAAGTTCGAGCTTTGCAGTTCAATTCAGAACCTCAGAGACTTCAGACTGGCAGCACTGTCAGTGCTGTCTCTCTCTCTCTCTCTCTCTCTCTCTCTCTCTCTCTCTCTCTCTCTCTCTCTCTCTCTCTCTCTCTCTCTCTCTCTCTCTCTCCCTCCCTAACGGGCAGGAGCAGCGGGCGCCACGTCGAAACGGCAGCTTTGAAATTGCTCGGGCCTGTGCGAAACCCGCCACCTCAAAAACCTGCAGTGTCTTGTGTCTGGACATCTAGGCCATGTCCGGTGGGGTGAAAGGACACTTAAAAATCACCCCAATATTTTTCGAGGGGCGGGTAGGACCCGACAAATGTCCTGGTCCGCCCCTTCTTTTTTTTGGATTTTTGCCCAAGGGGCCTCCATCCAGACATGGGACCGGACACCGGACACCAGACACCGGACACCAGACTGTCTGGAACCCGGCCCGGACGTCCGGGCGGTTACTATGCACCCCAGTGACCCCCAATTTTGTTTTCTTTTTTCATGCTTTTAATTGCTAAAAACGAAGTTGTCTGGGCCCGGACGTCCGGGACCCCCCTGACTGTCCGCCTAGGACGTCAGGCCAGTACGTCCTGCCATCGGACAACTGGTAACATACAAATAGTGTCATATGGCGCCTAATGATTGGGAGAAGAGATACATTCACAGCTCC